CATCAAGGATGATTGGGTTTAAATCATAGACATTAATTAGATTACTTGTTGTTTAACTTTGTCTGCTGAAGCTACTATATTAATAATTGTTAATGGTTTAAGCTGTACGCTTGGTGTCTGGTATTGGTTATTCAAAAAGTGTCATTAGGATCTTTTGGGGCAAATGTGAGGGTCATCGAATTTTAATTTTACTGCGTTGCAAACACAGAATGGAAGACTGATTTGACTTGGCTGTTTATGTCATTACAATGTCCCATCATAATCATATTGCTATTTGTGGGAACTTGCTTTGCATAAATTAGCTGCCACATGTCCTATATATCAAAAGTAACTACTGCTAGGCTTTAAGCAGTACCTGAACGCAGAGCTGACAAGCTTGCAACTACCTGGTCCTTACAGAGAGCCAGTACAGAGATGGTGGGCTTAATGCTCTCCTTCAGACCTATTCTATGATTCTATGTTGATACATTGTATAAGAAGCTGCTGGGAAGGAAACCATATAGGGCTCTATGCCCCACATGTGGTCCTTTCAGCAAGATTCTCCACTTTTCTCAGGCATTGAATAGAAAATCTGCTCCAAAGAATTCAAAACAGAAACTCCTTTCTCTCCTTCTTTGATTGAGAGGCCTTTGGACTTCAACCATCATGCTGATGGATATTTGATGGCCAGCATGGCCCCAGGGGCCTATTTCCGTGTTGTAAAAACTCTACAGCTCCTGTGTGACAGCCAGTTGTGTGATGTTTCATTCTGCACCTGGAGCTGCCTGTTCTCTAGGATTCTTGTTTCCTCAACTTAAGATAAACGTAAGATGTTCACAATGATACAGCAATTCTCCAGAAAAAAAATCTTATAAATGAAATCAACTCCAAAACACTGGGAGTCGTAAAACGTACTCTTCAGAAACATAAAGAAAATAGTTGAAGAATAAACAAAAACAGGATTTGATTTCTCTTAGTTTATTAGACTTTAAGAAAAGATGTCATTACCTTATTACAGGAGCTAGAATTGACCTGTCACTGAGCAAATTAAATTAATCCAATCTAACTTTTACCTCAATCAAGTTATTTAAGGCAAAATGACTTGGTTCCATGTAATAAATTACTTCTGAAACAATTCATGAAAATTATTCAGATAGGATTTGAATTGACATTAAGCACAATTAAAATTGATCTTAAAAGAACCTTATCATTTGTCAGGAGCCTCCCTTACATTAGGGATTCATCTTTAGTGTTCACATTCGATAGAACATTGGCAAGAAAGGCACCATATACAGATCAAATACAAAAAAGAATCATTGGCTGTAAAACCTATATATCCTTTATATATTATACAGTTCATAAAATTTACAGACTGATTTTTGATGAATAGAAATGCAGATTCATTCATTGTAGCTTTAAGTTTTTAGCAATTATTTACAAATGTCTACATATACCAAATAAGTTAAGATTTTAAGAAGATGATGAGAAAATTACTTTTTCACTGTCTTGACAATGTCAGGTTACATCATGGCAAAAATTTAAAGTGAGCTATATGCAGCTATATCAGTCATGTTACATAAATATGTAAAAACAATAGAGTAGTGGGATAGTGGGTGTCTTTAACTATAGATGGGAAAAGATGTAAAAGGATAAGGGCGGCAATAATTCCTGAAATGCGTATAAGAGAACTTTTCCAATTACCCTGTTTCCAGCCTAACAAAGAATGGAACAGTGTTGGATCTGGTTCTTGGGAATAACATGGAGCATTTTCAGTGGGGAGCCAACAGCTGGGAATCCGTGGACATGTTGGAGTAGCAGTGGAAAAGAGCAAGGAACAATCAAATGTCAAGACACTCAAAGAGGTAGACTAATTTCAGTGAAGTTAAAGCAATTTGGAATCAAAATACTGGCAGATAAATCAGTTAGTGATCAGCAGGAGATCTTCAAACACAAGAAGGTTCGATAAACATACTCCAGTGATGGGGCAAGAAGGGTTTCCAAAGCTTGAGCTCCCTAGTTGACTAAAGAAATTGGCATTAAAATTAAACAGAAGAATGAAGATGATCATAAAGGTCAGATTCATAGTAAATTAGAGAATCTAGCTAATCACAGAAAGTACGAAAGAAATCTTAAAAAGGAAGAGTGGTGAACAGAACGTACGGGAACAGATGAGTGGTTAATAGAAATGTGGTTCCAAATGTCAATATAAGCACATAGATTCTAAACAAGTAGTCAATGGAAGTGAGATGGGGCAAATTAAGAGTCATAAAGGAGAGATGCTTGGGAGAGACAGCTTACTGTCTTCACTGGAGAAAATGTTGCTGTCAAGGTGACATTCAGTGAGGATACAGAAGAAATATTGGATTGAATAAAAATAACAAAAAGCACTTAAGGGGGCTCAAAGTAGAAAAGTCACCCAGTGTGGACCACAGGTTAATGAGGAAGCTAAAAATGGGAACTGTGGAAGCTCTGGACCAAATCTCCTAAACTTTTTGGATATGGGGTTGGTTGTCAGGAGATGAGAGGACCACAGATGTTACACCTTTGTTCCAAAAAGGCTTTGACCTAATAACTATAGGCCAATTAGACAAACATCAGTGGTGGGAATATTTCTTGAAACTGGAATCCTAGTGCATTGTCACTTAGAAAAATATGGGTTAATAAATAAAAGTCAGCATGCATTTGTTCAAGGCAGATCATGTCTAGAAAAAATAATTGAATTCTTTGATGAAGTAATTGAAAGGATTTTGTGATGGATACGTGTAGGAGCATTTAAAAGGCAATTGGTAAAGTCCTACACAAAATACCTGTTAGGAAAACTAAATCCTAAGGAGTAAGGAGGCAGCAACAGTGTGGATATAAAGTGCCTAAAGGTCAGAAAGTAATGAACAGTTGTTTTTCAGATCAGAGGATAGTATACAGGGTGTTCTTTGGGGTCAGTATTAGGACCATTGCTCTTTTTACTTTCTAAAAATGATATGGACTTGTATATACAAAGCATAATTTCAAAGGGAGCAAATGACCTAAAATTTAGAAATGTGGTGAAAAAATGATGAGAATAGTAGACGTCTGGAAAACAAAAACAGACTAGTAAAATGGTCAGCCTCACGATGGATAAATTAATTGTAGAGAATTGTGAAGTTATGCATTTTGGTACAAAAATTTGAGGTACTTAATGGGGCTCAAAGTAGAAAAGTCACCCGTTCCGGGCCTCAGGTTAATGAGGGAACTAACAATGGGATTTATGGAAGCTCTGGACACAATCTTACAAACGTTTTGGATATGGATTTGGTTGGCAGAGGACAAGAGGACCACAAATCTTACCCCTCTTTTTCAAAAAGTTTTAAACCCAACAACTCTAGGCCAGTTAGACAAACATCAGTGGTGGTGATATTTCTTGAAACTGTAAATTCTAGGTGAACAACAAAGAAATCTGGGGGGTTCATGTACACAAGTCTTTGTGGGTCAGGACAGTTGCCGGGGCTGTAAAAAGAAATCATCTAAGATGCTGGGCTTTATGAACAAAGTCATTTCATACAAAAAACAAAGTTAAGCTAAACCTCTATAAAAACTAATTAGGCACCAGCCAGGGCATTTTGTCAAATTTGACACTTTAGAAATTGATGTCAAGTGCTTGAGAAGGTGCAGAGAAGCTTTACTGCAATGGTACTAGGGATGAGGGAGTTGAATGAATATGGAGAGCCCGGAGAGGCTGAGATTGTTTCCTTGAGGGCAGAGAAGGTTAATAGGTGATTGCATAGAGGTTGTGAAAAGTATTAAGAATTTTGATAGAGTAGACAGGGAGAAAATGTTTCTAACGCAAGAGCATTAGAAGTCAGATTTAGAATAACTGGCAAGTCAAACTTTGAGATAAGATGACATATTTAACGTAGTGAGTTACGGTGATATGGAATGCAGTCTGACAGGGAGGTGGAAATAGATTTAATGATATCTTCCCTAAAAATTTGGACAATCACTAGAAGGGAAACATTCACATGGTTAAGAGGAAAATGTAGAGAGAGTGTGACAAATTTGATAACTCTTTTGAAGGTGTGATAGACTGAATGATCTCCTCATGTGCTGTAAAATTTGATATTTTTTACAAACGATCAGTCATGCAGCAAATTGTGCTTCAAGGCAGTAACTGGATCCACCAGCTCAGCTGCTGTGCGACATGGTATCGTGCAACTAATTAGTACAAATATCAGCATCTCATAGATTAACAAAATGATACACAAAACATTCGATAGTGAGTTCATTTTTTCTGTGAAGCATCAACATTTCATTCTATTGGAAAACAGCATATCAAAAATTACATCTGCTCTACAGGAGGTCTCGTCACTTAATTCACATTACACTCCACGTGCAAGTTCAAACGTTCAGCTCTGGTACTCTCTGAATTTCAATCTCACAGACTACCTTCACACTTTCCCCAGCAAATGAAAGATTAAACTAGAATACAATTTTAAAAATAAAGTTGTCAAAGGTTCACCAAAATATATGGAATAAGCTTTCAAAATGGTGGTGAATGAGTGTGTTTGCCCTGTAACAGACAGATTGATATTTGTACCTCACAGGTAGTTGAAAAATACTTCTGATGTAAACAGGAACCATTACCTGGATAAAATAATTGCATTTTACAATTGGCCTGGAAGCCTCGAGATGCAACATCACTGAACACGTGCTGTAAATAACAATGGTTTTAATCTGTTCAGACTCTTGAATATATGTACTCTGGTCCATCCTCAAATAATTTCTGTGCACATTTCTTAGAGGAATAGTTCCTGCTATGTGAGCAGAATCAGGCTGTTTTACTCAAAGCACTGTAAACAGATATCATTTCAAATTTAACATGCATTTTTCATGCAACTAGCTCATAACTGCTCCTACAAATGCCTTTCTGATTTGTTCGTAATCTTGTATGTGAAAGTTTCATAATTTGTCTCATCCTCAGCAACAGTCCATGCACTGATACATTTCAGAAAGAGAAGCCAGAGTTGAAAGGAAAGCTTCTTCCGATGTCATTTTAGTCGAACATGAGACAGGCTCAAGGGGCTTGATGGGTCCTCAGTTAGGCTAAAGTGCTGATGGGTTCTGTTTATACCCGTTCTCAGTGAGACATTGGTTTCCAGCATCTCCGCACCAGTCTCCTCATCTTGTGGCAAAAGGCATGAATCTGCCAACTGGTAGTGCTCTTGGCTCACCTTCTGGCTGCTGCCAGTGGTTGGCACCCTCAGACTGTGTGTAGATTGGATCAGATTTTGCACAGACAGTGAGTGTTCTAACGGTTTTTCTGCGAGCGAGCCAACTCTGACCAAGTATTCATTTTCCACACTTTGGCTTCTCCTCCATGGTGTCTCCTGGATGAGATTATTTTCTGCTCCTTGGCCGGCAGAAGGGTAGGAAGTGGCATCGGAACCGACCCGCTCCCTGGCGGTCGGGATAATCTGGAGAGGTGTTGCCCTGCATGCATTCTGAATTGGTGACAGCTGTCGTGTTGGCATGGCGACTTTGGCAGATTGAACCATTTGATTTACTGCAGACGGTGTGGGTCCATCACCGTTGGTGGTTGGAGGAAGCTGAGTGTGTGTAGCTGAGCTCATGGTGCAGCAAGAGGGAACACATGGATCATGAGGTGATGGGATGTGCTGTAATCCCCTTGTACTTGTGGATCTTGACATGCAGCCACTAAATTGTGCTGAGCTAGGCCCATCTAAAGGACTTTGGTAATCTGATGTCTGATCAGACTCAAATGCAGGTATCTGCAGCGAGGTGAGTGTCAGTGCTGAGACAGAGCCTGTGTGCAAACATTGCCTGTAGATATCCAGGAGGCAGTCCAGTTTTGATTCGATAGACTGTACCTGCAAAGATCAATGTCACCGTATCACTATCAGCATATAACTGCCCAAGATCACTAAATGTTATGACTTTCGCAAAGTGGAACCTGATCTAGATTAGAGATGGTACAATCAATGGATTAACCCCAAAACACACAGATTACAGATTAGAGAATCAATTGATCTTTTTTATTTACTTGTGGGATGTGAGTGCCACTGGCTGGGTTAGCGCTTATTGCCCATTTTTCATTGCCCTTCAGAATAACCTCCAAATATACAGATTAAAGACTGGAGACTGATTGATTACCCCCAAAACACCATATTAGAGACCAGACAATTGATGGATTGACACGCAGTCATCCAGTCTATTCATGGACAAAACAATATTCTTAAATTATATTGATAATCACAAAGCTGTTATTTTGGTTGTGTACATCTTTATGAATAGGAAAGGTTGCTTGTTTGGAAGTGACTGGAATGATTTCTGAATGGTACTTTGTTTTTACCTGTTTTTCAACTTTTACCACCCGTCCCATCATGCTGAGATCATCAGAGGCATTAATGTCTCGTGGGACTTTCTCACGCGACCGCTTGTCTGTTGTGAGCTGTCCTCTTCCAAGCATATGATCCACACTATGTTGAATAAAATAAAGAAGTTTGGAAATTCTCACATACCCATTGTGCAATGAATCTTTCACTTTGGCCTCTTGCAAATAGTGATGATTAAATATACCTTCTAATGATGCTGCCCACTCATCAGGAAACCAGATATTACGCAGACTGAAACCTTTAAGCACAGGGGTCTAAAAGAAGCCACAGTTTAAACAACAAGATAGCCCTTACCATTACTCCACAACTGATCTCATCAAAGTTCATTGAATCAGTTTGGTATTCCAAGAGCAGATCAGAACTCACTATGTTTGTATCTTTATCTAAATAACAGTGAGTCACATCGGGTGTGTTAAGCTCATAGATGTTTGTCCCGTTATGGATACAGAGAGAGATGGACAATATCAGTGTGTGGACCCGATTTACCTCAACAATAAGTTGCATTTCTCTACTAGGCCCAGAGCTGATTGCCCAAGCAATACTTTGAGAACTTATTCACCCAAACGTGAGAGAGTCCAGAACAAATCAATGGGCGAAAGCTTTTGTAGTTCATGGCAAATAAGGGTGAAGCACAATTAGATGCAATTCCAGAAAGAGAAGGGATGAAGGGACACAGTGAGCTTAGTTTTTACATTGGGAAATTGGGTACATTGGCTTTCCTGCAAAATCAATGTCATCACACTGATCTCTGAAAAATATGAAAGTCGGGCAGTTGCAGAAATTGGCAGGCCCCTGCCATTTTAGAGTGCTCATTACCAACCCCCAGTAAAATAAAGAAATAATGGTGCTGGTCCAAACTGGAGTTCCTTATGAAGGTATACAAGCTGCATTCAGACCAGTTCTATCATTGTTTCTTACAGAGTTTTACTGAGCTTGTTAACAACTCCTTCCCCTGAGATTTTCTGTGACCTGCTGGATTTTACAAGCTGCACATATAGATTGGTTTGGGAGTCATTTGTGCCAATTTAAACAAGGCAGCACAAAGGTGGTATAACAAGACCTGGCACATTGACCATGATTGAATGTTCCAGTAGATTCTGCTGGGGAAGGTGACAGTGTCTGCATGTTTTTGCTTTCATTTTGTAATTTTTGAAAATCTTTTGTATGTCTTTGAATTGGTGAATAAAGACGGATTCTGAGAGCAAGGGGATTTTAGTTGTGGCTGTAACATTAACTGGAAGGAAACAAAACAGTAAAACTCACGAATGACACAGAATCACCAGTACGTTTAATTCCAAATGTTACAGCATTTTTTTGTGTAACTGATGTTTCCCTCTCCAACCTGCAGTGTTGATTCTCAGAGATCTCACAGCAAGGTGTTATTCATATTACAATACGCATGTAACTGCAACAAAAATTCAACACTCTATGGTCTGAGTATTGCAGAAAAAAAGATTTAAAAGAGTTTTGCAAATGTTGAACTGGTATTCTCGTGAACTGTGCTGATGAGTGCAAGATAAAAAGCTTTGACAAAGTGAGTCATTTTTTCAGTAATCCTCATACTCTGCACTGCCAAATCACTATTGTATCATTTATTATGTTAACTCAAGCACAGGAGTGTAGTATGTGGTAGCATTTAGAAAAGGCATGTAAAACTGGAGCTGATACGAATTGCAAACCTTGAAGGGGAAAGAAGAAGCATTTTCGGTTGGGTAGCAATTTCCTCTCCAGCCTTAATTGATTGGTTTCTCACTGGGTGACCACTAATTGACCTTGATAAGCTTAATCTGGTGTCTACAAAAGATGGGAGCAGGAGTCAGTGGATCACACAGTTCTGGATTGGCATCCCACCCCCTGCTGAGGAATATAAAATTCACCTCAGTGAATAAAAAGTGAGGTGGGATAAGCTGTATTGGATCATGTTTATAGATTCTATCATAAAGTGAAGATCAGGTCTCACAGGTGATTTTGTAAGAGCTGGCGAAGTAACTAGACTCTGATACACGTAGCTGGCAGCATCACATAGAAACAAAAAACAGGAGCACAAGTAGGCCATTCGGCCCTTTGAGGAGTTCCGTCATTCAATGTGATCATGGCTGATGTTGCAACTCACTGCCCTGTTCCTGCTTTCTCCCTTTACTGTTTGATAGCTTCTGCCCTAAGAGCTTTATGTAACTAACTCCTTCTTGAAAACATTCCATGTTTGGCCTCAACTGCTTCCTGTGGCAGAGAATTTCACAGCCTCACCACTCTTTGGGTAAAGAAATTTCTTGTCATCTCAGTTCTAAATGGCTTACCCTGTATCCTTAAAGTGTGAGGCCTGGTTTTGGATACCATTGTCATAGGGATCATCTGTCCTACATTTACCATGTCTAATGCTATGAGAATTTTATAGGTTTCTATGTGATGTCCTCTCATTCTTCTGAACTCTGGTTAATATAATCCTAATTGATCCAGTCTGTCTTCATGAGTCAGTCCTGTCATTCCATCTTTGTTGCATTCCATCTGTGGCCAGAACATCCTTCCTCAAATAAGGAGACTTGAACTTCACACAATATTCCAAGTATGGTCTTAACAGGAACCTGTAAAATTGCAGCTAGGCAGCCCTACTCCTAATTGAACCAGGAGGGTGGATGGAGGGTTGAGGGGAAGCGGGGTGCTTACCTGACACCAAGAATATTCCCTTAGCATTGGATAATTGCCTTCAATTCTGGTCTTAATTGGGGCTCCAATTGCAAGCCTCCACGGAGCAAGCTGCTAATTTCCTTGGCAGCCTGCCCTGCAAAGCTCACCTGGGATGGGGACAGGATTAGGAAGCTATCCTGATGAGATCCCCAAGGTTTCTCGTCACTTCTCTGTCCTCTCTTTTCTCCAAACAAATCTCAACAGGCCTAGAAATTTCAGCCTCTTGTATCTCCTCACAGCTTGCTTTCCTACCCTGCTTTGTATCCTTAAAGACCAGAACCGCAAAGAAATTTTTGACTTCCAATTCCAACATGTATTGTTTGTAAAAGGAGGGCTGCCACAGAAAACACTGCGGAGTTAAATCCAGTCACTGTCTGGAAAAGTCCTTGGTGAAGCCCACAGAATGTCGCACTTGTGAAGTATTTGGGAAACATCAAACAGTTATAGACTTAAAAAGAAGAAATAATTGGGGGTGGGCGCTGAGTATCTCTCCCATCTTGGAAGAAAGCTACATCTTGCAGACATGTCTGTTTTATTAGTTTAATTCATTTACGGGATATGGGCATTACTGGCCAGGTCAGTATTTATTGCCTATCCCAGAGGGCAGTTAAGAGTCAACCACATTGCTATGGATCTGGAATCACATGTAGGCCAGACCAGGTAAGAATGGCAGTTTTCTTCCCTAAATGACATTATTGAACCAGATGGGTTTTTCCGACAATTCATGATGGTCATCATTAGACTCTTAATTCCAGATTGTTTTTATTGATTTCAAATTCCACCATCTGCCATAGTGGGATTTGAACTAGGGTCCCAGAACATTAACTGGGAGGAGCTGTTATCAGGCAAGTCCATATTTGACATGTTGGAACTGTTTAAAGACCTGCTGGGGAAGTTCAAAACTGGCATGTTCCAGTAAAGAGGAAGGATAAGGATGGCAAGGTAAGGGCCCTTGGATAACAAGGGAGGTTGTGAATTTAGTCAAAAAGTAAAAAGAAGTACATGTAAGGTTTAGGGAGCTAAAATTGGACAGGGCCCGTGAGGAATATGAGGAAAGCAGGAATGTACTTAGGCAGGTAATGAGGAGAGCAAGAAGGGACCATGAAATGACCTTGGTTAGTAGGGTTAAAGAGAATCCCAAGGCATTCTATAGATACATTAAAAACAAAAGGATAACTAGGGAGAAGATAGGGCCACTCAAAGATAAAGCAGGAAACTTGTGCTTGGAGGCAGAGAATGTGGGTTAGAACCTAAATGAGTACTTTACATCGGTATTCACCCAGGAAAAGGATTTGGAGGATAATGAGATTTGTATGGAGCATGCTAATATGCTAGGGCATTTTGAGATCGAGAAAGAAGTGGTGTTGAATCTCTTGAAGAGCAATAAGGTAGTTAAGACCCCAGGGCCTGATGGTATCTACCTCAGGTTATTGAGAGAGGCAAGAGAGGAGGTTGCTGGGGCCTTGGCCAAGATCTTTGTCTCCTTGCTAGCCACTGGAAAGGTCCCACAGGACTGGGGAGTAGCTAATGTTGTTCCTCTGTTCAAGAAGGTAAGTAGGGATAATCCAAGAAACTACAGACCAGTGAGTCTCACATCGGTGGTTGGGAAGCTATTGGAGAGAATGCTTAGGGATAGGATTTATGCATATTTGGAAAAGCATAGCCTAATTAAGGACAGTCAGCATTGCTTTGTGCAAGGCAGGTCATGTCTTACTAACTTAATCGAATTTTTCGAGGAGGTAACAAATGTGATTGATGAGGGTAGAGCAGTGGATGTTGTTTACATGGATTTTAGTAAGGCTTTCAACAAGGTCCCTCATGGTAGGCTCATCCAGAAGATTAAGATGCATGGGATCCATGGTGACTTGGCCCCATGGATTCAGAATTGGTTTGCCCAAAGAAGGCAGAGTGTAGTGGTGGCAGGATGTTTTTCAGGCTGAAGGTCGGTGATTAGTGGTGTTCCACAGGGATCCATACTGGGACCTTGCTGTTTGTGATATATATAAATGACTTAGGTGAAAATGTACATGGGTGGATTAGTAAGTTTACAGATGATACAAAGATCAGTGGAGTTGTGGATACTGTAGAAGGTTGTCAAAGGATACAGCGGGATATAGATCAGTTGCAGACATGGGTGGAGAAATGGCCGATGGAGTTTATTCCGGGTAAGTGTGAGGTGCTGCACTTCGGGAGATCAAGTGTTAAGGAAAAGTATACAGTTAATGGCAGGACTCTGCACAGCATTGATGTACAGAGGGATCTTGGGGTTCAAGTCCATAGCTACCTGAAAGCAGCCACGCAAGTAGATAAGGTGGTAAAGAAGGTGTACTGCATGCTTGCCTTTATTATTCGGGGAACTGAGTACAAGTGTCAGAATGTCATGTTGCAGCTTTACAAGACTTTGGCTGGGCCACATTTAGAGTATTGTATTCAGTTCTGGTCACCATATTACAGGAAGGATGTGGAGGCTTTGGAGAGGATGCAGAAAAGGTTTACCAGGATTTTGCATGGATTGGAGGGTATGAACTATAAGGCAAGGCTACAAAAACTTGGGTTACTTTCTCTTGAGCAGTGCAGGCTGAGTGGAGACTTGAAAGAAGTCTATAAAATTATGAGATGTTTAGATAGGGTTGATGGTCAGAATCTTTTTCCAGAGTTGAAATGTCTAATGCTAAGGGGCATGCATTTAAGGTTAGAGGGGGAATGTTTGAGGGAAACATGAGGGGCAAGTTTTTTTTTTTTACACAGAGTGGTAGGAGTCTGGAACGCACTGCCAGGGGTGGTGGTAGAGGCAGATACGATAGGGGCATTTAAGGGACTTATAAATAAGCACATGAATACGCAAGGAATGGTGGCATATGGACCAATGGCCGACAAAAGAGATTAGTTTCATTTGGTGTCAAGTTTGGCACAACATCGTGAGCTGAAGGGCCTTATCCTGTGCTGTATTGTTCTATGTTCCATGATCTAACATTACCTGGGTCTCTGCATTAACAGTGCAGTAATACCACTAAGCCATCTCCTCCCCTTTTATCCTCCAGGAATATGCAAACAATGGTTAAAAAGCCAGCTTCAACTCTGCAGGTATGGGCTAGTGAAACTGAATGCTGTCATATGTATTCGAGTGTTCGTGGGTTGTGAAAGTCAAGATTGAAGAATTATCCACTGGTTACCCCATGTTACAGGTAAAAACCCTCTCTAACTAAGTGTTGTAATCCAGTTAAAAAGAAAACTGCACCACAAAAAGGATTTATTCCCACCCTTGAATGCTGGAATTCAATCTCAGTTGAAAGGAAATAGAACTTCAGAATCTCAACCAATTGGCAAATCTAAGGACCTTGCAGCCAACTGTTGACCTACCAACCAGTAACTTCCACTGTGATGCCCTCAACATTCAACTAGCCATTCTTAAAGAGAAATTCAGAGATAGGTCGGTATGTACTTTTTAAAACAAAATTATCTTTTTCGACTCCTCTCTTATTTTTTTAGTATGTATGTATGTTGCATTACTAGTTCTTTTTGCATTTATTAAGGAGTAAACTCACACATTGTTAACTCAAGAAAGCCTGGAGAAATGGGCTCCTTTTGAAATTTTAAGTTCATTTGGGTCTGGGGGATGGGTATTCACAAGAGAAAGGGTTCTTTAATAAATTAACCTTGTCGCAACCAGCCGAGGTGGATGGATTAATAAAGAAAGTGAACCAGTTCATCTCTCCACACCCAGGAGTTTAACCACTTGCGGTATCCCATCTGAAATAGTAGTGAATTAGGAAACATTACCCGAGATTTGGTTGTAACAGTATCTTCAGCAAGCTTGGATAAATTACAATTTATTCCCTCATCTAAATCATTAAAATAGATTATAAATAGTTGAAGCCCAAGCACTGATCCTTTTGGTAAGATCTTGCCAACGTGAACACTATCCATTTTTTTTTTGGTTTTCTGCTTTTTACCAATTCTCTAACAATGGTAATATTTCACTCTTAACTCAATGAGCACACATCTTATGCACAACATTTCTTCTGGCACATCATTAGAAATCAAAATATGCGACATCCACTAATTTCCTTTTATTTAGAATGTTAGTTACATATTCAAAACACTTTTGATTGTCAAATATGATTTCCCTTTCATACGTCCGACCTGATCCTGGTATGTTTTACTAATTTTCCCTGCCACTGCTTGTTTAATAAAATATTTAAACATTTATCTGAAGATTGCTGTCAGAGTAATTGGCCTGTTGCACTGTCTCTGTCTCTTCCTTCCTTCTTGAATTGTGATGTTATATTTCTTAGTTTCTACTCCACTGGGAATATTCCACGATTTCGGAAATTCGGGATGATCTTTGCAGTCACCTCCTTTAGAACACTACACTGCAGGCCATTGGCTCAAAGGCAGTTGTTGGCTTTTATTTTCTTTAATTTCTCCAGTCCATTATCTTTACTAATATTAGTTCCATTAAGTTCCTTACTGTTAATTCGATATTTGGTTAACCAGCAAATTTGTTAGACTCGTTCAATTTCTACCTGGAAGACAGATGCAAAATACTCACTTTACGTCATAGAGTCATCAAGCTGTTTAGCATGGAAACAGATCCTTTGGTCCAAGTCGTCTATGCCGATCAGATACCCTAAATAAATCCAGTCCTATTTGCCAGCATTTGGCCCTATATCCCTCTAAACCCTTCCTTATTCATATACCCATCCAGATGGCTTTTAAATGTTGTAATTTTACCAGCCTCCACCACTTCCTCTGGCAGTTCATTCCACACACATACCACCCTCTGCCTGAAAAAGGTATCCTTTAGGTCCCTTTTATATCTTTCCCTTCTTATCTTAAGCCTCTAGTTTTGGACTCCCCTACCCTGGGAAAAAGACCTTGGCTATTCACTCTCTCCGTCCCCGTCATGATTTTACAAACCTATGAGGTCACCCCTCAGCTTCTGACTGTCCATGGAAAATAGCCCCAGCCTATTCAGCCTCTCCCTATAGGTCAAACCCTCCAACCCTGGCAACATCCTTGGAAATCTCTTCTGCAGCCTTTCAAGTTTCACAACATCTTTGCAAAGCAGGGAGGCCAGAAGTGAATGCAGTATTCCATTAAACGCCTAAACAAAGTCCTATACAGCTGCAACATGACGTTCCAACTCCTATATTCAAATCACTCACCAATAAAGGCATGTGTACCAAATGCCTTCTTCACTAACCTTTCTACCTGCGACTCCACCTCCAAGGAACTATGAACCCATACTCCAAGGTCTCTTTATTTGGCAACACTCCCTAACATCTTACCATTAAGTCCTGCCCTGATTTGCCTTTCCAAAATGAAGCACCTTACATTTAACTAAATTAAACTTCACTTGCAACTCCTCAGCCCATTGGCCCATCTGATCACGGTCCCATTGTACTCTGAGATAACCTTCTTCATTGTTCATTACATCTCTGCCACCTGTTATTCCTTTTTGTAATTTAACCTGTCAGTCTCTAAGGAGTCCATGTTTACTTTAGCTACTCCTGTCCTTCTGCATTTTTGTAAAAACTCTGACAATCCATTTTCATATTTCTTTTTAGCTTACTGTCAAATTCAATTTGTCTTACTTAATATCAATTTTTGGTCACCCTTCACTGGTTTCTAAAGTTCAGCCAACCCTCACGTTGGTCCTTTCTTTGGCAACAATGCAAACCTCTCCTTTTAATCAAATTCGCTTGTTAACGTCTATAGTTAGCCTCAGAGGAATTGCTTTCTTGATGAAATTTTAAATGTCTCAATGAAGGCTGTATTTGTTAAGAATTACAAAGTATTTCTTTAGAATGTTCTTAATGCTTAGCTATTATCATATCTTTTAATCTGGATTCCAAATGGCCTTAGCCAACTTGCCCCTCACACCCATAATTGACTTTATATCAGTTTTATTTTAGGCATAAGGATGCCATGCCCAATCACAATTTGAGATTCTATTATTTTATGTTTGCTCTTCCTCCAAGAAGTCATTTTGTGAGGTTCTGAATCAACTTTGTCTCATTACAGAAGGCATCATCTAAAATAAGCTCATTGTCAAAATGGTTCTACGGTATGTTATCCTGGGAAACTGTCCTGAGTGCATTTCCTGAACCCATCACTACTGCCAATTTGATTTGGCCACAACATATAAGGATTAAAATCCCAAATGATTATTGTATTATCTTTGTTAAGATTTTTTTTACTGCTTTGACTAATATATGTCTCATGTAGATAGCGTTAGATGAACTATAACCATTCCAATTAGTGTTTCTTGTTTCTTGTTCTTTCTTATTTTCACCCAAACTAATTCTATTAGGCCAAATCCTTCCTAACTATTGTATTTATATCACCTATATTATCAGGGCTTCGAACCCCTCCTTTCCATTTTATCTATCCTTCTGAAATACTGGTTATTGTGGAACATTTCCTACCTTGGTCATCAAGCAATGGATCTCTGTGATGGCTATTACACCAAACCCATTTATCGCAGTTTCACACCATGTTTTAACATATCTGTCTTGTTAGGAATGCTTTGTGAATTCAGAAATAGTACTTTTAATTTTCCCCTGGCGTAATTGAAATAAAATGAGGATCCAATATTGTTAAACTCTCTACCTCCTTCTTTCACACTCTGCCTATTTGTACTCAAATTTGGCTAAACTTTAAACTTTTCATTATATTCCAGATTTTAATAATTGAATTTAAATCCCACCACCTGCATCCAGAGAATTAGTTTGGGTCTCTAGATTATAATGCTAGTGCCTTTACTACTAACCCCCAACTTCCTACTGTCCCTAACTGCCTTGACTTTTCTGTCTAGGTTTAACATGCATCTTCATTGGTGTCTTCCCCACAATCTCTAGTTTAATTTACTAGGCAACTACCTGGCTTGGTTTAGGTGGTGTCCATCTCAGCGAAACTGCCCTTGCTTTCCCCTGTACCGAGTTGGTGTTCCATGAGTCAAAATCTTTGTCTCCCTTTAAGCCACACACTCACCCTCTCGGCTGATCAATTTTATGCAAATTTGTACACTGTAGTAATCCAGATCTTGAGGGCTCTGCTTATTAATTTATACCTGAGCATGTCCTAGTGTCTACACTCACCGTGACTGCAGGCTCTTGATCCTGCAGAGCATGTCCAAATGTCCAGCAGAATATTGTTCGATCACGTCTTTCACATCATATGGACGTAAAGTCTCTTTGAACTTTCTCTTTGCAACGTGAAACTTCACAATCCTAGAATATGCCAGAGGAGATTCATGAGTAGTCATCTATCTGCTGTAAGACTGGGCTATTGACAATCAAAATGGAATTATTTTCCCCACCCAGTTGATAATTGTTAGGATTAATTCACAAGCAGGGGCCAGATTCACAATTTAACACTGATCAGATTCACCACCCATCATTCTGAAGCTGATGGAGCAACACTTTAACGTTATTAACTTAGGAAGGAGAACTGAACTAATTGTTTTCATTACACAGTATAGCAAACTGAATGATCTTGCACCATATCATGGAACCATGTTAGAGCACAATCAGGGAAAGCAATTTAGAAATAGGAATTTGGAAGACTGGAACTACAAGATGGACAAAAGACTGAGGTACCTTGAGTTCACCTTCTATCTACATTTGACTTGATAATAAAGTAGTTTGTGACTAATTACAGCAGTAATAGACAATATGAGCTGCGAAAAATTCCACTGATGAAAAGCTTTGGAAAGCAAAGGTCCAAAGTCACCTGGTCCTCTCAGACATGCCACCCTCACTACATAATGTCTCAGCTTACTAACATACCATATTCCAAGATGTCATTTTGTTTTGGACGAAATTTAATTTGTGTTGTAATGAATCAATACTGTGTTAGCTGTTTCCCCAGTCTCCCATGGGAATTTTGTTCCATAGATTGACCACTCTCTCACTAAAATATTGTTTTCTTAAGTTATCCTGAATTTCTCCTCCTCCAAGTTCAAGCCTCTGGTTCTACCATTTTGGACAAGGTGACACAACTTGATCTGGTCCTTTATTTTAGTCCCTTTATGTTTCTTTTAGTGTGTTTAATAGCTGTACATTTTAAAGTGCAAAGATCTTCTAGCAGAGGTAACTTGCCTATATCAAGTTGTGAGTGTGAAGTCTCCTTACGAGTGTGTTTGTTCAAATATCCGCCTTTCCATTATAGAAAGAAAAATATAATTTGCTGTTACAAGTTATCCAATATACAAGACCAATGAAGAAAATGATCAACCATGAACAAAAACAGAATGTTCATCCCAGTCAATCTAGGTTCAGTGAGACTGTGCACATACATTTGCATAGATAATCTTTAAACCCTGCAGATCTTCTAATGGTGCATGTGCACAGTGTTTCTGGCTGTTCATCCGGAATCTAGTGATGTTTCTTCTCTGCAAAATTTCAATCTCCTAGTGAGTGCATGATCAGAGTAAGATGCATATCTTTCAGGTTTCTGCTGTATTGATGACTTTCACATTGTGCTGAGATGTTATTGCTAAATTGTCTGTTTCTTCTTGTCCTATGCCATGAGCTTGTGTAGGTGGTCACACTCTGATGATAAATTAGGTAACAACTGCACTAGATAGATCATAAATTCAACAAATCATTTCACCACTTTCCCATTGGTTGGTTGCTATATTTCTGCTGCAGCTTTCACTTTGTCTGGATCCAGGTGAAGTTCTTTTGCTGCTAGTACATCACCTAAGTTCTTGTCATCAGAAATCTTTAACTGCATCTCCTTCTTGTTCTGCTTCAAATTAATCTGGCAAGGTCTTTCTAGTAGATGTTCTGGATTCTGATTTTTGCTCACAATGGCTTCTTCCATTGTATCTCCACATCCTAGACTCATAGATCATCCACAATAACCTCAGCTTCAGAAAATCACTAACCAATTAATCAAATCTGTGTTGGTATTGCTCTAAAGCAGTGGAAATGACAACTAGCATCCGCAGTAAGCTGTAACTCCTGAATGATGTCCAGAATGTAATTGGAAAACTGCTGCTTTCATCCAGCTTCACTTGTGTGTAATTATTATTTTCATTGAGGGTAGTAAAAACCTCTGTTTTGGCAAATAGTTGTAAAATTTCTTCACTAGTGAACATTGTGTGGTGGGACATCCTTGAAGCTTAACTGAAATCCTTTGGAGGATGGAGGGACAGGTAGTGTTGAGGAAGCAGGGAGGCTGCAGCAGGACTTGGACAGGATAGGAGACTGGGCAAAGAAATGGCAGATGGAGCACAATGTGGAAAATGTGAGATAATGCATTTTGGTAGGAGGAATAGAGACATAGTCTATCTTCTGAATGGGGAAAGGCTTCAGAAATCTAAAGCACAAGTAGACTTAGGAGTCCTAGTTCAGATTTCTCTAAAGGTTAACTTGTAGGTTTAGTTGGCAACTGGAAGGCAAATTTCGTGTTTGCATTCATTTTGAGAGGGCTAGAATACAACAGCAGGGATGTACTGCTGAGGCTGTATAAGGCTCTGGTCAGACCATATTTGGAATATTGTGAGAAGTTTTGGGCCCCATATCTAAGGAAGGATGTGCTGGCATTGGATGGAGTCCAAAGGGGGTTTACAAGAATGATCCTGGGAATGAAGGGCTTGTCATATGAGGAGAGGTTGAGGACTCTGGGTCTGTATTCTGAGTCTAGAAGGCTGAGGGGGGATCTGACTTCAACTTACAGAATACTGAGAGGCCTGGATAAAGTGGACATGGAGGGGATGTTTCCACTCGTAGGAGAGACTCAGGCTCGAGGGCACAGCCTCAGAGTGAAGGGATGACCCTTTAGAACTAAGATCAGGAACTTCTTCAGCCTGAGGGTGGTGGAACTCATTGCCACAGAAGACCATGGAGGCAAAGTCACTGAGTGTCTTTAATCATAGAATCCCTACAGTGTGGAAACAGGCTATTCGGCCCAGCAAGTCCACACCGCCCCTCGGAAGAGCATCCCATCCAGACCCATTCCCCTACCCTTCTCCATGTCTAATCCACCAAACTTACACACCCCTGGACATAATGGACAGTTAACAATGGCCAATCCACCTAGCCTGCACATCTTTGGACTGTGGGAGGAAACCGGAGCACCCGGAGGAAACCCACACAGACACGGGGAGAATGTGCAAACTCCACACAGACAGCCACCTGAGGGTGGAATCGAACCCGGGTCCCTGCTGCTGTGAGGCAGCAGTGCTAACCAATGAGACAGATGTAGATATGTTCTTGATTAGTAAGGGAATCAAAGGTTATGGGTAGAGGGCAGGAGCATGGGATTGAGAAAAATATCAGGGATGATTGAATGGCAGAAATGATGTGATGGACCAAATGGCCTAATTCTGTTCCTATATTATATGGTCCTATGGACCTGTATATACTCAACTTTCATCGGTTTTTCAATGCAAGCATGCTATAGGAATTGTCACTTGCTTGTCCCATCTTGTCCAGCTCCTCTATCTTGTCTTTTCAATTGAACTGAAGACAGCTGGAACGTTCCTTGGGGAAGATGCTGAGTTGGATTCATGCTCTCTTCCATTTCAGATGGAATTCACCAGGAAGCCATACAAAGAACTGAAAGGAAACACTTTTTTGTAATCTTTTAGGATCCGGTCAGCAATCAATGGCTAAATGGTCTAGAAATCAATATAAATTTCTTCCGGTCTGCATAGAGTTAACAGAATTTCGAATAGCTTCAGTTGAGATGAGTGGATTTTACTTAATGTTTACTATCTGGACTCGTAGATCTTCATTCTTTTGCTCTGTGCTCTCAGATTCATTTAAAATCTTGGGATAAGTATAATTCCTTCATTAGCCTCAAGCTTCATTTTTGTGTCATCATCATGAACAATGTTTTGATGTTGCACAGAGCACTGATTCCTATCTCTCACCTCACATTCACTTGATGCTCTGTTTCTGAAGTTCTGGGGAGATGGTTAGTTACCATTAAAGACATCTGTAAAAAGCATTCAATCCTGGTGTATGTTTCATGAGGCATGTTTAATGGCTGCTCATTCTAGAATCAAAGTGACTTATAGCTGAGGACAAATGACCGTGTGGAGTTAAAAGTGTACAGTGTTCTTACAAATGCATTTCTCCAAACACGTCAGGATCCCAGCAGATTCCTAAGCAAATCCCAGCACACTACTCATTCAAAAGAGCAAAGGACACTTCACCTGATAGCTCTGATTACAGTCTTGAGAACCGAGGTGAGTTCTTCCATGGAGAATTCACACTGAGCTCCCCTCTCATCAAAACCTTCATCTGTACCGAGAGCAGTGTCTGCAAGAATTGAACAAAGGTTGGTTTGTGTATCATTGCAAAGGAGTGAATTAGAGATACATGGTTCTCAGATTGAAAATGTTTGATTTCCCCCTTTTGCTAAATGAATAACCAAACACTGGCCTTTCACTGCATTCCACTCTTATACAAAGAATGTTCCCCAGAAAGAGGTCAGGTGCCAGGTCACAGGGTCAATCTCTCCAAGTCATGGGTGACCTTACAGGCCACCTTCAAACACCCAGACCTGGTGTGATGGGATGGGTGTGGGGTGGGGACATTCTGTAAAAAGCTGACGGAAATTGGATCTTAGGCATTCCTTTCATCCTCCCTAGTGTGCTCTGCACCACGCCCACTTCAGATGAGGTTTCTGTCCTTCTCCCCACCACAACCCCCTCAACTCAGTCTATTCTCAATCCGCCTGCCCTCAACATCTTACCACCTCGCCGCCCATCCCACCTCCATCCACCATCCTCACAATGTTCACTGATCTAATGAGGGGTGTCAGTGATCCTGTTGGCCCATAGTGAGCCCGCAGTGCTAATTGGGAGCCAGGTTGGGAAGGTTGTGGAAGACCATGGGCCATGCTACTGGAATGTCTCTCTCACCGTCTGAAGCTCCCCGTGTCTGACAGCTCTTATAACGGAGTGAAGGTCGGAATCGAGTCCGATCATTGAAGCTCCAGCTCTTCTGCATCTTGGTGGGACTAGCCTCTGTGGTTTGGTCATTGCTGGATGACCGGTGGTCTGTAACTAACGAAGCCTGTCTGCCCTTTACACCTTGACCCCTGGGGCTGGTCATTCGGACACGCTCCTTAAAACTTAACTTGTGGCTAAACAGGGGGAAAAGAAAGGACAATATTATTTCTATAAGTGAAATTTGCCAGATCAATTTAACCTCACATCATTCCTCTGAGTCATGATTTCTCACTGCTGACAATTCAATACTTCCTTTGTCAGTCCTGTTCAAAACTCAGGAAGGTTTCTCACTGTAGAGAGAAAAGAAAGGAGTACAGTTAAATGAAGTGAGTGAGTATAGACCCAGAATAAATGATGAACAGAAAGAGACCGAAAGTAAAGGATGAACAGAGAGAGACCATGAGTAAAGGAGGGCCAGAGAGATCAAGAGTAAAGAACGAATACAGAGAGCGAGACAAGGCGTAAAGGAAGGACAGTTACCCAGGGTAAAGGATGACCAGAGAGTCCCAGAGTAAATGATGAATAGAGCGAGACTAAAAAAAAAGAGAACCAGAGAGAGACCTGGTAGTTGAGGCAGAAATCTCACAGCCTTTAAAAAGTACTTAGAGATGAGCACTTGGAATGTGATAACATTCAAGGCAATGGGCCAAGTACTTGAAAGTGAGACTAGTTTAGATTTAGCATAGTTTTGGCGGTACAGACTTGATGGACTGAAGGGCCTCTTCTGTACTATATGATTCTATGAGACCTAGAGTAAAGGAAGGAATTTAGAGACCCAAAGTTCCAGAAGGAAGGAAAGGAAGGTGCAACGTACGATGTAGAGCAGTTTTACTGTGTGCAGAGAAACCTGGGTAGAATGTAAATCACCACTAACAAAGTAACATTTCCAATTGCATCAGGAGGCACAGTAGAAATAAATAAATTAATTCTGTAATAAAGTTCATCAGCAGTTCAGCCAAACAAAGGTCCTCTCGCTGTTGATTCAAAAAAGGTCGATAACCAAGCAGTAATAAAAGGGAGCTCAGACTGATGATTAGTACCGGAAAAAAAAATCAAAGGGCATATTAGTAGAATGTTTTCCGATGTATAGATTATTAGAAGGAACGAGTATTTTTTTTCACAAGGGTGAGTAAGTCAGGGACAGTCCATGTAAAAGACAATTGAGTAAAAAAATGACACAATGTTTGATGAGGATCTGATGAATGTTTACTGATGACAGCGCTTTTCTGTGCAAAGTTTTTAATCTGTCCACATATTTAACTTCAAACATGAATAGTGAAAGGAAATCTTATGGTAAAATCCGATGCATTTCATGCCAAATGCAGTGTGTTATGTACATGCAGGATGTGCAAAGGTTAGAGATGGACAAGTGCGCTAAACTCTCTCATTCTCTAAAGGGTGTGATTCATTGATACTCTCGTGGAACATCCCTGCAGGTATTGAACATCTCCCACTGAGGTACCATTTTTGCATAATGGCACGGATTTTGCAGTCAGCAGTAAATGAACAGTGAATGGTGCTAGCTGTTCATCACACTTGACACATTTGTAGATTTTTGACTGGAAATTGCTGTGATTTGAAACTCATTTTGACACAGCCCCTTCTACAGTGTCCTGGGGCCTCAATGAACAATTCTATCACCTGAACCAATCTGATGGAAGGGTTGCTGCTGAGTAGTGCAGAGTGTGAACCAACAAGTGTGAGTTAGAATAGTTAATCTAATACCATATGACGCACAAAACAACCAGAAAAATGAGATTGAGAGATGATATGAAGAAAAAGTTTGAAAAAATAAAGTTTTCAAGAATAATTAAAATTGGAAGGCTTGAGAATCCACACTTGTAAATGTTAGTTTTCAATGCCAATTTTTTTACACTGAACTAGTCAAGGCTTAATCTTTTCTGGTGAGCTTAACCGTAAAAAAGAAAGATAATGTCACCAATAGTCTTACCAGGCCATAGAGCTGCTCTCTCATTAGAGAGAGACATCTGGTGTTGGTGTTACCTAAGGATCCCTACACTTCAGGTGCGGGAGGAGGTTGAGAAGGAGAATCCTTCAGGGTAACTTCAGCTGCTGTGGCTTCACTCTGCAGTGCAAATCAGCCATCCAGCCAATTGAGTTAACCGACCCCATCACAAGCACAGCAACCTTGTAGTATTATATTGCTGAGAGTGAGGGACTGCTAAGCTGAAGTTTCTAGATGAGCAGGGTAAATTAGACAACAATGTCCTCATTTCTGCATTTAACTGCACATGTGCAGATGCTGGAAGTTTCTGAAAAAAAAGAGCTGATGAAGAATGATCTAGACTCGGAACATTAGCTTGCTCTCTCTCCACGGATGCTGCCTGACGTACTGTGATTTCCAGCACTTTTTGTTTTTGGTACAGATTCCAGCATCTGCAGTAATTTGCTCCTGCTGGAAGTTTCTGTCAGATATATGCTTTAGTGGGAAACACCATCATTGGACCTGATTTTGCGTTAGGAGTAACAATCAGTTTCACAGCACAGCACATTTAGAATCAGCTTAATGTTACAACGATCTTGCAGAGAGCACCATTCAATAACTGGGGAGGTAGGGAGAGGGGAAAGCATCTTTCTCAACTCTTCATTGAAGAGATAGCAAATATCAAGGGCCATACCAAGAAATAACAGTGACTACAGATCTACCGAGCATATTTCAATATTTGCAAGCACCAAGCAAGGAAATGGGAGTTAAAAAAAGAAGGGGAGGAGAAATAGCAAGCTGTGAAATAATACCAGAGACAGAGGATTCAGGAAGCTCTGTATGAAAGCCTTAAAAAGGAGAGGATGAAATAACTAACCATGCAATTGCTATTAGTGACATTCCCAAAGACCATGTGAGCAGATGCTGGATACCTATGTTTCCTGGAGGTGTATATCCTGGAGAGCTTCTGTTTATTATTAAGAAGCTTACTAGGAAGTGAGGGGAGATAGAGCAGCATTTTAAACACTGATCAATGCAAACCCGCAGAAATTAGGAATGCCAATAGCTTGAGTAATCAAATCTGACAGTAACCTCCTCATATTAAGTAAAGATTCATGTCCAGTGCAAATTTGGGTTGGAAGACTCTGTCATTGATATGGGTACAAGAGGTTGTACCACAGTTAGCTGAACTTTTCTATGTTAACTCTGGCAATTAATTCCCAGTTAACATTTCATTGGAGGCAGAGTCAGGATCTTTTGAAGTGACTGGATACTGTGGATTGTTCAAGGCTCTTTTCTCCATAATGGGACTCAGCAAATAACCATAAAATGTTAATTGCACAACGTAAATCATTGGTCAGATGTTCAATTGAGGCTCAGTGATAGGAAATGAATGGGGCTAGAGACCCCATCGGGCTAGTCTCACTGAACTGAAACTACACTGTTATTACACCTTGTGATGACCATCAAATCCTGGTGAATTTTGCCTGTAATTCACTACAGGAGGCAATATTGCTCCTTCCAGGGATTGAGAGTTTCACCAGTGGGTACGTTAGATTAAAGTTTGCTCTTGAGGTAGGATCCCAGCAACACAAATTCCAACCACATGCCTGCAGTGAATTAGTTACAGGGCATATCTGTGGGTTAAATGTAGGTTAAACTTTGATTTTAGTTTAAGAAAGCTCACAGTTTTAGAAAGAAAGGGAGGATGGTAAACTGATGCAGAGTTGCCCAGTTTCTTTTTACATTCTGAACTTGAAAAATGTCTTCATTTGGCAATTGTTTAAATCAGGAACTCCCTGTGCTGGTTTGCAGTAAGGGGCTGAGAACCTGATTATTAACTTTGCATAGCTTTTGCATAATTTGTACTATTTGGGAAGATAGGGTAGTGAACAAACCTGCTGAAAGTTTCTCCTTGGTCTCTTCTTCAGTGTTAGTTTGTGAAAGGAAACAAGAGTCAGACAGAAAGTATCGGTCATCAAAATAATCAATAATTAAATAATTGAACACACTGAAAGCCTTATTCTAAAGTGCACAGTCATCTCCTAATTCACACAGACAAGGTGCAGCACTAAGCAATAAGCTGGGATGGATAATCTAAGTTACACGGATATTAAAAAGGACAAAGCAGCGAGTCAGGAATAAACACAGAAAACGAGCATTATCCACAGTGGGCAGGACAGAGCTGTATACCAGGATGGTTGTTCACTGACACAAGGTTAAAGCACATTAGGGACTTATTATAATCCTGTCCTCTTGGGGGCTCGGAGGATACTACCCTGGGCAGAGGACATTCTGAAGTGATCCTGATCATCACTCTGACTTCTATCTCTTTCATCTTTTACTTTCCCTCTTCCTCCTCCCCCCGTGCCCCTTCCCTCTCCATATCCGTGTGTGTTTGTGCGCGTGTGCGTGTGTATTTGTGTGCGTGTATTTGTGTGTGTGTGTGTGTGTATCCCTCCTCCTCCCTCCGTGTCTGACTCTCTCCTGTTTGCTTATATTAAAAGAAGCTGTTCCCTCCAATTGGGTCAGTATCTTAAACACAGGTAGAGGGAGGAAAATTGAAGAGAAACAGCAAGCTTCACATCCAGAGCTGACAGGATCCAATCACGTTCTGTCTGTCATCTAATCTGTTGAGATTGGCACATCTGTGTTGGTATTTTAACCATTTACGCTTCAAGAGTCTAGTTTCATTTATATCAGGAGATCTCTCAGAGCACCAGGTCATCAACTGGGTTCATGGAGAAGCTTATTGTCCCATTACAATTTCACAAGTGAGGTACAGTTTGAGATATAGCTCCCTTAATACTGTCCAGTTGAACGTTTCTAAGATAGATGTAGCATGGGATGGATACAGAGGCAAGCTCTTTGAAACACTCCCAGAGCAGGTACAGCTTGGATACTTTACAGGAGAAGGCTCCCTTTACATCGAATACTTCCAGAGCAGGCACAGTAGGGTTAGTTACAGAGAAAAGCTCCCACTATGTTATCCATTCAAATACTCCCAGAGGAGATATAGCACAAGTGCGATGCGGAGTAAAGATTCCTCTACACTGTCCTATCAAATATTCTAAGGACAGGTACAACAAGGGTGAGATACAAGGTAAAGTGCCCTCTACACTGTTCCATGAAACACGCCCAGCGCAGTGTAAGTGTAGTTTAGATACAGAGTGTAGATCCCTCTGTATTGTCGATTCAAATACTTCCCAAGACAGGTACACCATGGGTTACACACAGATAGATGAGAACTAACAGCCGGAAACATTGACAGCAGAACTGTATTCAACCACAATCTGTAATCTCACTGCCTGGCATATTCCCCCATTCTACAATAATTACCATCCAGCCAGGCGATCACAGAATCATAGAATCATACAGTACAGAACAGGCTCCTCATCCATCCACTCTGTACTGTCAAAGCTGCTCTGAATCTACGCTAGTCTCAATTTCCAGCACTTCGTCCGTAACCTTGAATGTTTTAAGTGCTTATCCAAGTACTTTTTAAAGGCTGTGAGTTTCCCCATCTCAACTATCCACCCAGGCAGACCCGCACCTCAGTTTTTCCTCAAATCCCCTCTAAACCTTCTGCCTTTCACTTTAAAATTATGCCTCCTTGCTGCTGACCCTTCAAAGATAGGGAATAACTGCTTTCTATTCACCTTGTCCACGTCCCTCAAGATCTCATATACCTCTGTCAGGTTCTCCCTTCAGCCTTCTCTACTCCACAGAAAACAACCTGAGCTTATCCAACCTCTCTTTGTAGCTAAAGTGCTCCGAAAGAGTGCGGGAAAGGCATGGCAGGAGCAGCACCAAGCAGAACTAAAAATGATGCGTCAACCTCGTGAAACTACAATAAAGAGCTACGCGCATGCCAAACAGTAGCATGTGATACAAAAATCTTGTGATGGCACAACCAACAGATCAGATCTAAGCTCTGCAGTCCCGCTATATCGAGAGGTGAAAGGTGGTGATCAATTAAACATCCAACCAGAAGAGAAATAGTCCCATGCTCCGTGATGGGGAGCCCAAAATACCGAAAGATAACGCTGAAGCATTTGCAACAGTCTTCACTTTACATGATATTAAGAAATGACAGAAGGAATTGCATACTGTAAAGGCTATGGGCCCTGATAATACCCTAGAAAAAGTACTGAAGGTGTGTGTTCCATTGACCAGAAACCGAATTGGACTAGGCATAAAAACATTGTTACTGCAACAGCAGGTCAGATGTTATGAATTCTGAGTTGAGTAACTCATTTCCTGTTGACCCAGTGTCTCACCACCGTATACTAAATGTAAATCAGGAGAGTGTTGTCATACCTTCCACTTGCCTGGGAGACTGCAGCTCCAACAACACTCAAGAAGCTCAACATTATTCAGGAAAAAGCAGCCTGTTTGATCAATGCCCCATCAACCATCTTCAATATTCACTCCGTCCACTATCAGTGGTCAGTGGCAGCAGCGTACCATCTACAAGAAGCATTGCAGCACTTACTAAGGCACATTCCAAACCTGCAACTTCCCACTTAGGAGGGTAATGGCAGCGGATACATGGGAGCTCCATGACCTGCAAATTCCCCTCAAAGACACTCACCATCCTGACTTGGAACTGCAACACCATCCCTTCATTATTGCTTTAATCAAATTGTTGGCAAGTTGTGAATGTACTTACACTGCATAAACTGCTGCAGTTCAAGAAGCCAGTTCATCGCCACATTTTCTATGGCTGCAAATGCTAGCTTAGCCTGCGACGACCACATCCATTTACAAATTTGTTTTAAAAACTGCCGGGGTAACAGTGCAGGTTAAATACATGGTAAAGTATGCTGTATAGAGTCCTTAGAAATATTCCCAAGGCAGTTACAGCACAGGTTAGATATTCACTTAAGGTCCCTTTACAACATCCTGCCAACTGTTTCAAGGTAGGTGCAACACCTTAGATCCCACATGGTCTCCATGTATTACGATCTGTATTTACTGGACCTTGCATTATGGCCCATGTGAGTAACCAAATTAAAGTACCTAATTCATATGAAGCTGTGAGATGCAGATAAGTGCGAAATAAATTCAATTTTTGAGGTTTTTAAGATTTTAAAGTACAAAAACAATCTTTGTTCAAGAAGTCTACAAAGGTTTAAAAATGTGCTATTCCGCACTTTGTTTTCAGTGCTGTCAATCTCTTCTCTTTTAAAAGTAACTGGATCCTCTCACTGACTGATGTGACAGATGTGATTCTCTCAAGAACAGAGAAAGAAACAGCTTCAAAATGCAGGAAGCAATTAAAAGCCATAACACAAGATGTCAAAGCGACAACATCAGCCGCTAGTTTTGTACCTACTTTGCAGGGCCTGCAGAAATGCAAGGTGTTCAAATGTGGCTTCCAGGTTGCTATGGAAACCGAGGCCTCATCATAACTATGCCACACATACTACGTGCAGATTTTATTATGTAAAAGGTATCAAGCAAGGCCAGGAGGGAGAGGGAAACGGGAAAAAAAATGAAACAAAAATGGAAAAAGCGGGTTAGTAAAAAGGATCCAAGTGAATGGTGCGTTCATGATCAAAGCACTTGATACATGCCTGAGTGGAGACAGGACACTCTCATAAAATCGCCAGGTGGCCACCAGGTATGTGCGGCTACCATCGGTGGAGTACAACCGCCAAGCAGCCTAAAGTCAAAAGGGAGGTGGAGGGGAAGGTAAAAGGTACAAATACCCATGTAAAATCAGCAAGTCAAACAAGATGAAAGATACACAGTAAATACATCGCATGACATTTCCTTTCCTTTCAGTCAAGCCTTGACCTGTTGTGGAGTGAGAAAGTGGCAGGTATTCAACCCAGAGATAGTAAGAACTGCCGATGCTGGAGAATCTGAGATAACAAGGTGTAAAGCTGGATGAACACAGCAGGCCAAGCAGCATCAGAGGAGCAGGAAGGCTGACGTTTCGGGCCTAGAAGGGTCTAGGCCC